ATGAACCACGCGCGGTTCTCCCGGATATGCGTCCGTTACACCGGTAGTGCGGTACTGAAATTGGAGCGAGTCCGAAAGCCAAAAAAAGCAAATACAGTCTGCCCCAATCGGGATCAGGCTAAACCGCCGGCTGATTTTGCGCACTCGCAACGCTAGGTGTCTGCGCTACATACGCGCACTGTCGCAGAGAGCGACGAGATTGAGGAGAGAGCAGAGTGGCTGGCCGTAGGACGTGACGCAATACCCTCGCGACGCGGGTCCCGCCATGCCAATTTTGGCCTGGTTGTGATTGGGGCAGACTGTAAATTTTGTCTGTGATGCATAAGAGAAAAGCGTTTGGCTTATAGAAAATTTCAGAAAGAAAAAAGTCTGAACTTACGTTTTTTTAAGCGCGCCTTTGGCGCTTTGATATCTCTTTATCTAGACTAGGTGCAGCTTGCTGCAGTAGAAGGAAACAATGAATCCTGGAAAATAACTGTGACAACATCTAATGTAGGCCAAAACAAAACAAGCCTTTGACATGTTTGCCATGCTATCAATTTCTTGGTGAAATATCTGCGAAAAGAAAATGAACAAACATAAGCAAACAACTATCATAACTTATAATAACGGGATGTGTGTGTGTGTGTTGTGTGTGTGTGTGTTGTGTGTGTGTGTGTGTGTGTGTGTGTATGCTCCAGACTCTGCCGAGAATCTGCTGGGCACTGCTTTCAATCACTGGCCGCATGAGGAGATACCCAAAAGAACGTCAACGCTACCCAAGGATCGAGCAGGCGGTCGTGAGAACCTGAGCCGCTGGACTTGTGACGGCAGCCGGGTCACGAATTCAGCTGCTTTTATAGACGGACGGGGGTAATTATTGTATATTTCATGTCCAAGATTAAAATTTGTAAGATCCCTTTTTTCAAAAGATAAGTAGTTCATAGAAGTCAACTTTGTAGAAATTGGCTACTTTCCCCAGAGAAGCTGTGAATCTCAGTGAGATAACTGCAGCTAGAGTAGTAGATTATCAGTTTAGTAGCTCATATGTAGCGGTTTCTATAACTTGCCTTTTTGGATTGAGTCCACTCAATTTCGATATTATACAGTGCTGGCCAAAACTATAGATCTACTCTAAAAACTGCCGTAGTTTATCTGCTTCTCAACAAATTGATCTGAAGCTTGGTACAGGTGTGCAAGCTTCTATCAGTGAGCGGGGCGGATACCGCTTTCGTTTGATTATTCAGGAAAAAAAAATCAAAAATTTCGAAAACAGCAGGCTCGAAGGGGTTGGCCAAAACTATAGTTTCTCATAAAATTCCTATCTGCTAAAGTAATCCTCGGCTTCCAAAGTCTTTTGTGCATATATATAGTCGAAGTTCAAATCAGTGGCTTTAGTCCAGCTGTGTCATCTTATATATAAAGCTGAATGTCTGTTTGTCTGTCTGTCTGTCTGTCTGTATGTCTGTCTGTCTGTCTGTCTGTATGTCTGTACGTATGTTCCGAATAGAAAATTCCATTTCTGAACCGATCGGGACCAAACTTGGCACACATACACTTCGGGCCCCGGCGGGTGTCATAGGCTACTTTTCGTCATCGATCGATATTGATTTTATCGATTTTTTGCAAAATTTGGGCTACAGGGCTGGGAGTTGGCACAGGGGGGTAAGTGAGCATGGGGATTCCGAATACAATATTAGTTTTTAAAATCGTGCATTACTTTTATCGACTTTATCGATTTTTTTGCAAAGTTTGAGCTACGGGGCTGGGATTTGGCACAGGGGGGTAATCGAGCATGCTGATCACCCCCACGGGAGTGATCAGCATGCTCCATTACCCCCCTGTGCCAAATCCCAGCCCCCTAGCTCAAATTTTGCAAAAATCGATAAAAGTAATGCACGGTTTCGAAAACTAATGTTGTATTTGTAATCAGCATGCTCGATTACCCCCCTATGCCAAATCCCAGCCCCCTAGCTCAAATTTAGAAAAAATCGATAAAGTCGACATCGATCGATAACGAAAAGTGGACTGTGACACCTACCGGGGCCCGAAGTGTAAGTGTGCCAAGTTTGGTCCGGATCGGTTAAGAAATGAAATTTTCTATTCGGAGCATACGGCGGAGCCGGGTAAGCCAGCTAGTACCTTTAGAAACGCTGCTTTTGAATCTGCTTTTGTTCACACTCTCATGCTATTTTGTTCCCGAAAATTTGTTTTTATAGAGTACTCGGCACTTTTTTGACTGGTTTGAAAGTGACAGGGCTTCATCTATCTTATAAATGCTTAGCAGTGTGAGCAGAAAAAAATTCGAGTTTTCATAGCCAAAGCGCACCTGACATAGACCTAACCGCAGGCCTGCGTTCAAATTTATGCCTTCAAACTCTTTTTGCAATGTTGTCATGAGCGTGAACTGGAGTAATGACATTTTTAGTATGTATGAAAGTCCGTATGCATTGGTTCAAATTTATGCAGATTTTAGTATGCAAGCTAAGTGAGGATCTTGCAAAAAGTGATTGGCAACAAGCCTTTATTTCTGGTTCTGACCATACTTATGTGAGTCACAAGGCAACATACAATACATTGTGTATTCACTAGTTAGCAGCTAAATAGTGGCAAAATCAAGAAAGGTACCACTTGGTAAGTACTTTGAGAGAACACACCGCAACATTTATTACTTAAAAAAGAATTAAAATGAGACTTCGCGAACAATTGTGACTATAGTTTACACTTCTTCTTGTGTAAACTTCTTTTTGTGTAAATAATGCTAAATAATACTTCTACATTATTTTGAGCTTTCAAAAACAGCGTACACCAATGATCATACGATGTATGATGATACGTACACCAACGATCGATTTGACGCATCTGCAAGAAAACTATTTTTTTTTCATCCTTAAAATTTGTAAAGAGTGGTCGCAAACCTTTCGAAACTCCGAATTTGTTCGCTCATCAAGTTTTGAGTGGAATGCTTACAAGGAGAGGATACTTAGTCAAAAGCACCAATCCAGATGAGACATATAGGGCTTATCAAATTGAGTGTCATTTGCACCAGCATCTCCATCTTCGCGCTGGACTCTGCGTCTCTTCCGCGGGCTGCTCTCTAAGCACTTTCTCAGGGCGAACGTGGGAAAAGCGGAGCCTCAATCGATTGGAAGTGACTAGGGAACATGTGTCGCAGAAGAGACGCAGAGTCCAGCGCGAAGATGGAGATGCTGGAGCAAACGACACTCAATTTGATAAGCCCTATACACCATCTTAGAGCGCTTGAAACGCCGATCCAAATCTGCAGTCTCTAGCTGCGGAGCGGTTTTGTAGCAGGAGTTATAAAGAGTGCTCCCCTCTGGGGTCTAGGTGCCCTCCACCAGGTCTCCCCTTACCTATGAGCACTGTAGAGGAGTACCAACTGTGGCAAGTGACCTAGTGGTAAGTGACGTGCTTGATAAGGAGAGTGTTAAGGTTTTAATCTCCTTCGCATGCTAAATTGAACTTCTAAATGGCTTTAGAGCCCTAAAACATGGAACTTCTGATGATATTGATACTAATCGAAGTTATAAGTGTTAAAAAAAGTAAAGTAATATGAGTATCTCAATCTTTACTGTAATCTTCATTCAAGTTATTTACTATTAGGTCAGTTGCCATCAGCTGATACTCCTCTACAGTGCTTACAGATAAGGGGAGACCGCTGGAGGGCACCTAGACCCCAGAGGGGAGCACTCTTCATAACTCCTGCTACAAAACCGCTCCGCAGCTAGAAACTGCAAATTTAGAATCAGCGTTTCAAGCGCTTAAAGATGATATATGTCTCATCTGGATTGGTGCTTTCGACCAAGTATCCTCTCCTTGTTAGGAGCATTGGCGGATCATTTCCATAGCAAAAATAGCACATTTTCTCAGTTTCTGCTTTCGTATCAAGTACCTCCGTATGAGCTCTAGATATTGCTGATGAAAATAATTGCGACGTGCTCCAAAAACAGTTTTTTGAAATTTTCGTATGAAATCTCTAAAGAAGGGGAAAAATGTTACCTTAAACACTGGTTTTCTTAGTTTATGCGAAGGAATTTCATAAAGCATCTTGCCTTTTCTTTTCGTTTTCTCTTTCCCTCCAAATAAGCAACTGGATTATTAGTGGCAATCCAGAGGGAGAGGAGAGGAAGGGTAAAAGGGGCGACAAAAATATCTTTAGAGTAAATTGTCCTTGATAAATATTTTGGGATTCTTTGCGAGATCTCCGGGGGCCTGAATTTTAGGAAAAGGATGTTTGACGGATAATTTGGAGATTTGAAGAGAATTCTATCATTATTCTAATTGTTTAAAAGTATAAACAGGTTATTGACGGAATCCTAAAGCCATTCAGGCCAATTTTCACTTTCCTTCTTTCTTCTCTCCCCCCCTCCCCCGGCCTTCGGTCTGTAACTGTGGAATATCTATTCCAACACAGTCTTCTTGGAGGGATACTGTGGAAAGTGTGACACATTGATGTCGAGACAATCACTCTTTCCACTGTTTGCATAAGCTAATGAAGAAGTCCCACAGAGGATTTATGACTTCATTGAGAACTTCTGATCCCTAATGTGTAAAAGATTTTCACTTCAAAGCGAAGATGAACACAACAACAATAGAGAGTATGAGAAGTGCTATGCATATGGCCGCTATCACATATCCTCGATAACCGTTGAAGAACGATACCGGACAATATGATCTTGGAACAGTGACTTGAGAACCTGGGATTTTTATGTGGATACTGATTTGAAGACCTCAGCTGAGCGACTGCTCAAGCTGCAGGTCATATGATTCAATTGTAGCAGGGAAAATCGACTCTGAACCCTTGCCCACACCGTAATCCTTACGAAAGTGCACGGTCTGGGTTAAAATTTAGTAGATTCTCTTTGCGACGAAATCCTATGTGTCTTAGGCAAGGGCTTACCTAAGATTCAATAAGTATCTTCCACATAAAAAGCCCTAGTATCAACAGGATTCGAATAAACTCCTTTGCACTGAGATGGGAAGGAAATTGAAGTGCATACCTGTAAATCCACAAGCTGGCACAGTCATCGGTATGGGACGCCCATTAGAGGCAAATTGGATCTCATTTTGTGAGTCATAAAGCGGTATCAAAGTCTGAAGATTAATTGATCATCTTACCATTTTGAAAAGCTGAGGGAATTGAGTCACACCACAATTACATGAGCTATCAATCTTTTTGGCTCAGCTGATCTTCCTACCCCGGTCACAATAAAGTATGGTATTCTAGATCCATCACAAGCTTCAATAACATTAGCAAGGGCTCCTTAAAATAAAGGGTAAGGTTTCAACCGAGTAGCATCCGCAGCGCAACCTACCTGGGTAAGCATCCTTTGTCCTGTTGAATAAAAACGCTCCATCTCTGATATTTTGATTTGAAGCAATTGTTTTGTTTAGAACTCCTGCATAGACCATCATTGCATCATAAAGCTGTGTCGCGTACTGGGCCATCTAGCAAGTAGCTTAATTTCTCATAATACTGTTTACTGTTGTTGTTTACCTCCCATTCCTGGACGTTCACGCACCTTGCGCAAGGAATACTTAGTTCGGCTGTCTTCCCCTCTTGTTGCGTATAATTGGTCAGGTCCGGATTTTGATCTTCGTCATTGCCCACCTATACGGTGTACGGTATATAAGTCTTCTGATATGATCACTCCTAAACGACCTGGGTTTCCTATATGGAAAGTGATTGGAAGGCGTTAGCTGAGCCACTGTTCAAGCAGCAGCTCAAATGTTTCATTTGTGACCAAGATTTACCACTTGAAACTCCAGCCCAGACCGTATCGCTACCGCGTCCCGCTTAAGGAGACTACGATATGGATTAAAGTTTAGAGTTGAATTTCTCATCCGCGAATGGAAAGTTTGAGCTGCCATTTAAGCAAGGCTCAAGTTAGAGCCCCTCTCCCCCCCCCCTAATCACTTTCCACATAGGAAAACCCACCCGGGTTTGCTCAGAATCCCCAAATTCCTTACATCACTAAGCATAAACGTCCTTGTGAATGCTTCCAGTGCTTTCTGGTCGCGGCCGTCAGGTGGAAGTGCCATATCTTGCCAAACATAAATGGTACGGTTTCCGGTATTTGCATTTTCTGGGATTTTTAGGTTTTTTTCAAAATAATCATATTTTTTGAGAGTTCTTACTGTACCCGGAATCCAACAGATCTGCAAAAATGTAAGTGTATTTGTCATTAAGCATGTTTTGATCCTTTGCTGTTAGCATAAACATTCGTTTGTTGTCAATCAGCATGATGTTTATGTTCAGCGCGCTGAATGATTACCCTAGACGAAGTTTAAAGCAAATCTATGTTTTCGATCCCATACCGTATAAGCACCACAACTCTATGAAAAATTCTCAATATACAGAGAGAGAGAGATGATATTCGTAATTAGCATGTCGAATAAGTCATATGGACCGGACTCCAGCCGAATTCATGATTATGACTTCCTACCGTACACCTATCGTAACCACACGGGAAGACGTACTGCGGAGAAAGTGTGATATCTGTAATCAGCATGTAAAGGGCCGAACAACTTCACGCGATTTCAGTGGCGACGCGATTTGGCGATTCGCCAGAAGTCTTCGGATCCAACATTAGCAAACTGCACATGCATAGCGTGTATAACTTACGTAAACTGATGAAATGCCCTATCTTCTGTACATCTATAATGTGCTTGCAATGAGTTATGGACACCTGGAATATTGCCAAATCGCGTCGCGATTGAAATCGCTTGAAGTATGCCCGCCCCTTAAGATAATCCTTATACGCGAAGTTTGAGCAAACTCTACCACACAAAAATTTTGGGGCCCGGATAGCCGAATAGCGCCAAACTAATATCGAACTCGTAATGGACGATTTCAAAAGCTAATATTGTAATCGTAATCAGCATGCTCGATTACCCCCCTTCGCAAACTCCCAGCCCCGTAGCTCAAACTTTGCCAAAAAATTGATAAAATTGATAAAAGTAATCGATAATCCTGAAAACTAACATTGTATTCGGAATCCCCATGCTCGACTACCCCCCTGTGCCAACTCCCAGCCCCGTAGGTCAAACTTTACAAAAAATCAATAAATTCGATAAAAATCGGTAATTCTGAAAAGTAATAGTGTATTCAAAATCCCCATGCTCGACTACCCCCCTGTGCCAACTCCCAGCCCCGTAGGTTAACTCTGCAAAAAAATCGATAAAATCGATAAAATCGATATCGATCGATGACGAAAAGTAGCCTATGACACCAGCCGGGGCCCGATGTGTATGTGTGCGAAGTTTGGTCCGGACCGGTTCAAAATGGAATTCCTATTCGGAACATACGTACAAACAGACATACAGACATACAAACAGGCACTCAGCTATACAGGGTGTCCCAAAAAATGTTAACACTGTTTAATCGTTAATAACTCCCTTGCTTTTAAGTCTTTCGCCGAGCTTTAGGTACCATTTTGTAGAGAGAGGATAATCTTAGATTTGTAGTATAGAGCGAATCATCTAACTCTCCTCGTTACTGTAGAATTACGGGAGAAAATTTGACAAGGATTTTAGGCCATCAAAGGCCATTTTCTGCTTTGCAACAGAGCCAAACAAGCCAAAATCTCTTGTACTATGGTAATGAAAGCCGCTGATTTCAAATATGAAACTTCCATTTTATTATGATACTTCTTTTCGAAGTTATCCTAGGTAAAGTGTAATAACTGACTTCACAGCATGTGTCAAAAATGTGATTACACCGTAAAAAAGCTGAAAACACTCGTAAAAAGTTGTGTAGTAAAATCAGCGTGCGCGAAAACCCTAGTACACGATTTTTCAGATTTTTCGAAAAAAATTTTGTCAGAGGGCACACTTCACGACGGTTCCACATGCTGGAATTTCTTACCGTAATCCTACAGTAACCAAGAGGAACATTGATTCGCTCTATGCTGTAAATCTAAGTTCGACCTCGCTCTACAGAATGGTGCTTCAAGCTCGCCGAAAGACATGAAATCAAGGGAGTATTAACGATCAAACAGTGTTAACATTTTTTTGGGACACTCTGTATATAAGATGATATTGCAATTACATCAGAAGAAAAGTATTGGAATCGCACCTCCTCAGTCTCATGCTGCTTCTGTAGGTTCAGCTTATTTGAGCAAGCTTCACTATGGGCTATATTTCTATGAGTCGTCCCTCGAAAATACCTGAGATTATATAAAACTATCACATGGTTGCAAACAGATAATACGCAACACGTACTTCCGGGTCTGCCTATGTTAAAAGGTTGTGCCGCATTGGATGAAATAAAAGAGCCGATATCAAATTTGTGCGCAGGTTTTGCATAGCGCATAATAGTTTTTATAAACAGTATGGTTTCTTTCACACTTGCGGAAGAGCTTTGATTTTTTGTTAGCATGGAAGCAATAGGTTTGTAAGACAGAATTTTACGAATTGCAAAGGCAAAGAATGTTTTTTTTATCGCTGCGCATTGACTTCTTTGCTGTGAATGTTCGGTAGTGAAAGAATTGGAGCTTTGAAAGAACGAAATTTATGTTTCTCGCACTACCATGTTTGGAAAGGCAATACGGCAGAAGCTTCAAAGCACAGTTGTAATGATTAAAGGCAACCAGTATTATACCATGGCGAGTGGTAGCGCTATTGGCACACATTCCACTTCTCAGCAAATCTTGTATATGAAGCTGAATGTCTGTCTGTCTGTCGTCTGTCTGTCTGTCTGTATGTCTGTCTGTACGTATGTTTCGAATAGAAAATTCCATTTCTGAACCGATCCGGACCAAACTTGGCACACATACACTTTGGGCCCCGGCGGGTGTCATAGGCTACTTTTCGTCATCGATCGATATCGACTTTATCAATTTTTATCGATTTTTTGCAGAGTTCACCTATGGGGCTGAGAGTTTGCATAGGGGGGGTAGGTGAGCATGGGGATTTTGAATACACTATTACTTTTCAGAATTACCGATTTTTATCGAATTTATTGATTTTTTTGTAAAGTTTGACCTGCGGGGCTGGGAGTTTGCACAGGGGGAGGGGGTATCCAGCATGCTGATTATGAATACAATATTAGTTTCAAGATTATCGATAACTTTTATCGATTATATCGATTTTTTTGTAAAGTTTGAGCTGCGGGGCTGGGAGTTTGCACAGGAGATGACCGAGCATCCTGATTACGAGTACAATATTAGTTTGGCGCTATTCGACTATCCCGGCCCAAGATTATTTTGTCGTAGAGCTTGCTGAAACTTTGTGTATAAGGATTATTTTACATGCTGATTACAGATATCACACTTCCTCCGCAGAATATCCCCGTGTGGTTACGGTAGGTGTACGGTAGGAAGTCAAAATCATGAATTCGGCTGGAGTTTGGTCCAGAAAGCTTATTCGACATGCTGATTACGAAGTTCTACTCTCTCTGCATATTGGGACCTTTTCATAAAGTTATGGTGGTTATACGGTATGGAGTCGAAACATAGATTTGCTTTAAACTTCGTCTAGGGTAATCATTCAGCGCGTTGAACATGAATATCATGCCGATTTCGCAGGATAGTGCATGTTCTTGGGTTGTTCTTGGGTGGGTGTAGATTATACTTGGGACCGAATCGAATGATTATTCGATCATTCGAATAAATCATTCGAATGCGAATGATTCGAAAAGTCGAATATTCGAAAATCTTAAATTTCGAATATTATTCGATAGTCGAATATTCGAGTGTCATTCATTCGATCATTTGATGTCCATCAAATACTCGAATATTCGTCGAGCACCGAATATTCGGAAATTCGATAAGAATTGGCTATTCGAAAATTCGATAAGCACCGGATATTCGAGAATTTGATATGCATAGCTTATAGGGGATGTCTTAGTATTTACACACCGTTTGATCGCTAATACCTCTCAAAGTCATTTGCTAATTTCTGGGTAACATCCAGTAGGGATGACTTCAGCTTATAAAAACAGCAGAAAATGAATTACCCGTGTTTTTCTTATTGTGTATTATCACAGTAGGAAACTCCAGCTAATAGACCAACTGCAAAATAAGACATCCAAAAAATTGTCCCCAAAAAGGCCTAAAATCTGTGCAGCAGTGTTTTTACGCATGCTGATTTTGTTACGCACGAGTTTTCAAGCTTTTCAAATGGCAATCACATTTTTGAAAGGCGTTGCAAAACACTTGTTACGGTGTATCGTTTGTTCCCCAGCAAATTCCCCATAGGTACCACGTCATGTCGCTGCCTTTCGCTATTTTGAACGTGTTAACCTCGGGCAGTTCTTAAAATCTCAGGAGAAACGTGTCAAAATGAGCGAAAGGCAGCGTCGCACCACGTAAGCACGCTGGCTCACATGGGAACTTGGGAAAAAAGCATTACGCTTGAGTGCAAATTCTACATAAAGTGAATGTCTTTAGAAATCTAAAGCAAGACTTTCAGTTCTTTCGATTCTTTTTCTTGGGGAAATGGCTCTT